TACTTCCTTGTAAATGTCGAGCCACATATTGCTCTTGTTTTAACTCAATGTCGAGATTAGCGACTAACTGTTTGTGAATCTGTTTCTGTTTGGAAATTCTTGATCTCAGGTCTTTGATTTTTGCATCTTGAAAAGTTAGTCCATCATCCTTTTCGCTGCAAATTTCTTCCATTTCTGTAACGATAATTCAAAGTTTAGCGTTCAGAGGGCCTTGCCACTCGGGCCTTCGTCAGACGGAAATTGGAGTTAATGAAAGTTGCAACTTTCTCTCTTGTTTCATCGCCCTCTCACTCACACACGATCAACTGACAGAGGATGAAAGTTCAGGCCTGCAAATAATTATTTTACTTCGAAGGACAAATGTTTGGCCAAGCCAAATATTAGTCGGACATTTATCAATTTTTCGCGGGCAATGGACTGTCAAAGACAAAGCAAAACTTTTCATAATTTTTTTTCCAAATTAACACGATGTATTTTTTGCCTGGTCATGTCAGTTCGCATGCACTGCAATGCGACTAAAACTGAATATATATCTACCAGTCCTATTAATGCATCAGTAAATTATAGTTCAGGTTATACAAAACCTTAATTTCTATACCATGTATATACGAAGGTGATGTAGATTTATAATGAAATCTTCCGGCTTAATGCAGCAAGAAATAATGGAGAAGTGCTGTCTATATATTGTTTTCTTGTTGGTTTCATTAATAAAGAATGTGTTAAATAAACAATTTTTTTATATTAGAGATTTGACTAGCCTAAATCGGTCGGTCACATGTCCGGGGTCAAAAAGCTTTGATCAGACAAACGCAGTGCTCTCACAATCAAATTTTCGAATTCCTTAGAAAAAGCTCGAAAATTCCTCAGATTTCCTTAAAATTCCTTAAATTGGTAAAATTACTACAAGGCCTGATCACATATATAGTTGCAAAAAGTGTTTTTTTTCTCTTTTTTTCAGTTTTTCAACCTTGTTTCTAAGCACTAAAATCTGAAAACAATTGATTGTTAGCATATTAAATGCGATAAAGAAAACATTCAACATGATGTATTTTTGATCGTTGCTGCATGAAGAGTTTAGAAAATATGTAGATTTCAGAGGAAACAGCATATACTGACATTTAACTTTTGAAAATTTTAATGGAAAGACAGCCATGTGTCATTTATGACAAAAAGAACATACGAATATATGTAATTATGTGCGTATAATGTTGTTACTTTCAAGTTTAAATCTCATTTGCGTGGCGTGTTATCCTCCGTCCAACATTTCCAGTCCAAGATAAAATGTTTTGGAAATTCCTTAAAAAAATCCTCAAAAACCTAAATTCCTTAAAAAAATCCTTAAAACTCTTCAAAATTCCTATTTTTAAGGATAATTCCTTAAAAGTGAGAGCACTGGACAAACGGTAAAATTTGGTCGGAGAATGTCCGATGACCAATGCTTCCATTCTGAAAAAACATAATTTCCTTCCAACCGTTCAAAATTTCCTTATTTTTGAAAAAAATTCCTTGCAGTAAAAATTATTGAATTTTACCTAATTTAAAACTGATTTTATAGTAATTTAGCTCGAATAACGGGGTATTTCTTGTTCTAGAAAGAACATAGACGTTGCAGGGGCTGAATTATCAAAGGGGAGAGACAAAGAGTTACCTAGATTAACATGAAGGAGAATAATCAGGGGGGTCTGGGGGTCCTCCCCCAGAAAATTTTCAGATTTTGCATCTCGCAGGACAGGATTTTCAGCATATTTTGAAGCGCATTTCCTTGGAAATTGCCGTATTCTTAGGATTTTTTAGAAATAAGGCAATTTCCTTCACATTTCCTTCAATCTTCCGAAATTTCCTTCAAATTTCCTTCAGATTCGAATTTCCTTATAATTTCCTTCAATTCGTTAAAATTTCCTTCAAAAAGAAAATTTCCTCCAAAATGGAAGCACTGCCGATGACAGGTGTCCCAGCAGATTTGAACCCCCCTCAAAATGGACCCCCCCGGTCCAAATCCGCTAGCGAATATGAACCGGGGAGTCGATATCCGCTAGCAAATATGGACCTATGGGGGGTTATATTCGCTAGCGGATTTGGACTCCCCTCGCGAATTTGGAGCCCTCGCGTATTTTATCATTGCAACGTACTGTATTTTGAATATTGTACTGAAAGCGTTTTATATTGTTATAAATCTCATCTGATTTATTTTAAAAACCGTACGAAGATTTTTAGATCATCAAATCTTAGTTTTTTAGATTAATTAAAGAATTCCGTCAAAGTTTATAGTTTATAATTTTTCTGCTACATGGGTTTATTTCTATGATCTTGGAATGTGCGAGAATTGAGAAGCGCAGTGAAGCCTTCACAAGCATTTTACTCCTTGGAATTGCTGTCTGCTCTGACTCTTAACTGCTCAAATAAAAACGGAAAATGAAAATATATTTCAAATTATTTTTGCCTTAACATACCCATAACAAAGTGACTCCATTCAACCCTAAATTTTTATAAAATTAGCATCTCAATACTTGTTTTCGTCATCATGTTAAGCAAATTCCAAGATAGTTGAGTCATGCCATTAGTTATCATAATATAAATTAAACTGACGCCTAAATTTCCATGCACATTCACTGCAAATCGTTTCAAAATTTCTTCTTTTTGTGAATTTTAGGGGGTCCAATTCCGCGGAAGGGGGTACATATCAGCTAGCGGATATGTACCGTAGGGGTCCGAATCCGCTAGCTGATATGGACCGGGGGTTCATATCCGCGGGGAGTCCAAATCCGCTGTGACACCGGCACTAATTTGCAGGACTGAAGTTGATGAGAGAAGCCATTGAGAGATGCCAGCTTTCTCATCTCGTATATACGTACCCCGGTCAAACGAGAAGAAGAGTTGCATGAGAGTTGACTGGATATTACCGCGCGTATAGCGGTCATAAACTCTCGTTGACGCTAATGAAAATTGGAACCAGCTCAGATGAATGAGATGAGAGTTGGTGGTCAAATGCGAGTCGCAACATTCATCGACTCTATCAACTTTGAGCTGGTTTAAATTTTGATATAATATAAGTTTTTGCCGCATGCAACTCTTGTTCTAGCCTCCTCTGCAGACATCTCTATAGACTTGCTCCAAGTCTCTCTTTCATTGTCATAGAGTTTCGATCCACTGTAGTGTACATTACATGATGTACACTATAGTGGATCGATAGTATATGACAATGAAAGAGAGACTTGGAGCAAGTCTAACATCTCTAGGGCGTCGGGTGTATCAAAATTTTTTTTCTCGAACTACCCGTTCGCAGGCTAAATAAAGAGTCTATTCTCTTGGGTTTTTTTTAATTTGACCAGGGACATGAGAGTTGAGAAGCTCTTGTTTGATGTTAACGCTCATCCTCATTTGACCATTCCTCCAGAAAGAAACTCTTACTTTACTTACATTTTACTCTGTCTAATGTCAGATAATCATACTTGTCAAAGATGGGAAATTGTTGCGCATTAACCATCAAGTAGTATATAGTGTGAGCAGCCGTGTTGTATCAGATATACAAATTCGAGCCGATCGCGAAGGCAAGAGGTTGTACTATTAATGTCTGATACAACATGGACGTGATATAGCTGGTGAAACATAAGCCTTAGGATTCCAACAGTTGTGTTTTAACTATTCAAAAAGAAGTGTTTGAACTGAGAAAGTTGAAGAAAAAGGTTAAATGCGAATCAGGAAAATTTTGTATATGTGGGTATCTCATTATAAAACATATTTGATTTCTCTTGAATTTTCTTCATGAATTATTAAATAATGAGTTTTACAAGTTGCAACGCACCCCCAATGTACCCATTTTTGTAATTTTAGTCTAATGCCTGATAATTTTACCCGTCAAGGAGAGAGTCTTGTGTATTAAGCTTCCCCATTGAGTAAAATCATCTGGCGTTAGACATTGTCAAGTAAAAAAGATAAGTAGGGCGCACTGGGGCGCATTGCGGCTTAATGGGTTAATTAAGCTGCAGAGCTTCTCCATTGACGAATAAAATCGTCAGGTGTCAGACAAGTAAAAAAATAAGTAGGGTGCACTGAGGCTCCATGGGTTAATAGCTACATGCAGTAAAAAGCTTAATGGACTAAACTGGCCTACTGTCTCCTTTTAATACATGTTGCTCTAACAACCCATAAATTATACTCTTTGTACTGCAAGCTGATTGCCCAAGATCAATATTTTGAAGTAATAGGGAGTGATTACTTGGAATAAGACAATTAAAGAAAATACCTAAACACTTGTTGTACAATTCATCGTTCTTGTGCGATTCATCAATGGCTTTTGTTTTTAATTTCTGAAATCTAAAATGTTTTTAATTTAGAAATAACAAACAGGCGAATAACATAAAAATAACAGAGTCTCAACGATAAAAATTAACCACTTGTAAGGTAAGTTGGGCAAAAAAACCTGGGTTCCTATATTCCTCTTGCAAAAACTTAGGTTGTGTTTACATTTTTTGTAATTTTTTAGTAATGCTTATGCATGAGAACGACTTCCTACATCATTTTTTGTCATTTTGTTATAAATGCTTAATATGCATGATTGGGAACAAATTCTACATCAATTTTTAAATTTTTTTTTGTAAATTCTTATGCATGAGAATGACATTCTATGTCAATTATGAACTGTCTTTGCCAGTATAGGTAGTGCCAATCAATTACCTGAAAATATAAGGAGAATTTTGACGTTTCGAGCGAAGGCTCTTCGTCTGGAGTTACTAGTGACTCCAGACGAAGGCCCTTCGTAACTCCAGATGAAGGGCCTTCACTCGAGACGTTGAAATTCTCCTTATATTTTGTCATGTCATTGCATCCATAGTTGCCAACTTTTTAAAATAAAAATGCGGGAGTTTATAGCGCAGTAAATATACTACAGTAAAACTGGATACCCCTGTCTTCGATGAGTAAGAGTTGCTGGTTGTAAAAAGGTCAATCAAAAGACAATTACACAATTTCGAAAAAAATGTATATCGATCTTCAATTACATTGTCATTAACAATAAAAAAGCAACAACAGTTGCAATATCAAACAATAAGAAACAGCAACAACAGTTAGCTATCTGCATTTTACAATTTGTTATGTTTGCGGGAAAAAGCGGGAGGATTTTTCAAAATGCGGGAGGAAAAGTCAATGCGGGAAATTTGCGGGGAAAGTGATCAAATGCGGGAGGGTTGGCAACTATGTTGCATCCCTACCAGCGAAAGCTTGTTCATATATCAATTATGGCAGCACAGATCAAGATGGCACAAACATTTGTCTTAAAAGACGGTATTATATCAACTTTCAGACAATCAGGTTATACTTTATGTAAAAAGTGCCAAACTGGTGACACAACCTGGATACGAAAGGTTGCTCCAGGGTCTTAAGGTTGGTGATTTCATGGGCTAAAAGCTAGGTAGGGTTGGGAAATCAGAAACCCAGGTGAGTTTTCGGCTCATTTGACTGAACGAAAAATAATAAACTTTACGCAGTTTCAAATGTCGTCTTTTCACGCTCTAGCTGACCCTTTAACATTTCAATTTGTCCTTCTGCAAATTGTAATTTCTCTGTTTCTTCAGCCAACTTGGCCCTTGTCTTCATGTGTTGTAGTCTTTCCTCCTGCAACAATCACACAGAATAAATCTCAACTAGAAATAGCTTCATATCAAAACACAATATCAAGATAAATATACAAAAACCTTACATCCAGTTGAGCTACAACAGCCTGGTGATCTTCATGCGGAATTGTGACATCTCTTCGCTTTAGCTTGAAAAAAAATCAAGATAAACAATGTTTTACTGCATGGTTATTTAGACCAACCCATAAATTAAGAGTACAATGTAATCTTATCAGGGCTGGATTAACCATGTGGCAGATGCGGCATATGCTGTGGGCCTCGCGCTTATGGGGGCCTCGCGCTTTACTGTGCCATGCCCATTTTTACAAGAACATAGCCATTTTCTATTGGGACACACCCATTTTAGGTGCCTCGTGAATTTAGATGCCTCGCAAATTTAGGGACCTCACACATTTAGGGCCCCTAGGCTTGACAGTTGGCCCCAGAAAAATATGCAATACTCGTGTGCATATAATTTCCAGTTGTGCTGAGCTGTTATATGATCCTGTTTATACTTGTTGACCCAACTACTGGGCCAGGCAGGCCATTGTCTCGTTTATAATTAATGCCAATCAATTGAAAATATTGAAAACAATTATTTAACAATTTTGTGTATCTTTGAGACCCAAAGGTTTCTGGCAATAAGGGAGCCTTGCACTAAAATCTGCCACAGGCCTTGCGCGACGTTAATCCAGCCCTGAATGTTATAGATTATTAGCAAGTATACACGACTTTGAAAAGTAGCTTAGCCTAGGCTGTCTAGCTTAATAGGCCAATTAAAAAAAAATAGTTGGTGATCATCCCCGCCCACCCTTTGTATAAAATTTTTTTAAAAACCCAACCGGCCGCCCAACTTTTGGCAAAGGACGATCACCAACTATTTTTTTATCTGGCCTTTATAGCTACAAATTGACAGATAATTGACTATAAAATAATTGACATTTTGTCCAATACATTTCTATTCAAAAGAATACCAAGGAAAGAAATATCACCTACCATACATTGTAATTTGACAATGGCTGTATTTTGTGTCCTTACTAAGTCTTGTAGTTGTCTGTTAACAAGAACATATGAAGGACTCTGCGAAATCCGCTCCTTGTCTTCCGCCATTTTGAATCATCCGCCACAACGCTGCATGAAGGTATCAACTGGACTGTTAAATATAGTTACCGTATTTACTCGTTTAAGCGCCGCGGCGGGGGGCGGCGCTTGTTTGAGAGCGGCGTGGCGGCGCTCTTTATAAAATATTTAATTCAGAAATATTATAAACAAAATAGAACATGAAAGCACTGAAATGCAGGAGAAAAAGTTCCGAGGTTTGTTAAACATTGCACCCACGGTGCTTTCTTCCGCGATTGGGCGTCACGAACAATTCTTCAGACAGTGCTTCGATTGAGCGGCGCGTTGTTGTGAATAAATGAATGTGCTGCTTATTCGTGGGCACTCTTGAATAATTTTGCTCTCATATGCGACGCTTAATCGGGGGCGGCGCTCATAATTAAACAGGTAAATACAATAATCTGGTGTAACCATAGGGTGTAACCTGCGAATATATAACAGCCACCCGATCGATTGTCTCGTTCCTCGATAAAGGCTCCCAGATCAGTGGGGGCGCCAAAGCGAAGCGGGGTGGGCAGCATTTAAAAGGGGCACTTACTTCTGAGCCTTAATTTTTGTTGCTACTAACTTCTCGACGAAGGGTCTTACTTTTACTTGTATTTTCCAAGTTGTTGAATTCCTATCCATCTCAATTTTTTCCGCTGTTAATATGTCCTTCATGATTCCCTTCTAATCAAAAGAACATTCATTGAAATGCTCTGGGAACGAGTTTCATGCAAATGACGCAACCGCGTGTTATGGCCGGGGACTTAGCTCCGCTCCCATTAAAACCGCGTGACCTGGGGCTGGTTGTATTAAAAAGTGATTAAAGTTAACTTATAAATCTCTTGATCACTTTTTTAAATCATTATTTTGTAGTTAAAAACTCTCAAATACGCGCTTCTTATTGGATGACGTTTCCACTAACTATATATAGTTAGTGGAAACGTTATCCAATATTCTAGAAGCGCGTATTATATTTGAGAGTTTTTAACTACAAAATAGTGATTAAAAAAGTGAGTAAGAGATTTATATAACCGGCGCCAGCAAGTTTGTAATTACGCATTTACGCTCGTTTTTTTACGAGGCTATAATTCGCCTTAATAAAAAAGATGGCGGCTGTCGATCTACCCACAATGCATTGCAGTCGGAAATGATTTAAAACAACAGTTAAACGTTTTTTAAATAACACACAAAAGACGTCGTCAGTTATTCCTATCTGTTAAAGTTTCATGTCATTGTCTGTTTTTCTTGTCACTCTTTTTTGCGGATTTATGCTTGCTGCACGCAAAGGATTGTAGGTAGATCGACATGCCGACATATTTTTTATTATGGCGAATTTGTTCGCGCGAAGCGACCACTGGAAACGACTTTTTCTATGCCGACATCACTTATATTAAAGTTACTTTGTTGTAGAAAAGTCTTAAACAGTAAAACTGTGGTCATATTTACAGATAAAATTAGATTTATGTTAATTATTACTCTCTATAATAAATAAACCTCATGTTCACTTATCAACTATATTGATAAAGATTGTATTTGCCAATTGCATATACAATTGGACTATGATTCCGGCAAAGGAAAAGGTCTCTTCGTGCGAACAAATTCGCCGCGATTGGAAAGGGGCTTTAGACTTAGAATCCCCTAGATCCATAACTAATAACAGTCTGCACTAGTCCGTAAATGTTATTAATCAGGATCTCCTAACGACTTAAAACAGCAGCCGGCTACTGATCACCGGCATTTTCTCACAGCGTGTGACCGCGAGTTTTTGTTTCCTATAATCCATTGATGTATATGATGGATTTATAAGTTTTTAATTAAAAAGATTCTGTCTTGACATAAAAGATCGCATTGTGCATTTTTATTTTATTTTTGCGAGTGATGAACCGGGCGGGAATCGTATAATTGTATAAGATGACAATCAATGCCCAGGACAGCAATCTCGTGCCCAGGCCATTCCCTCTTGGGAGGAAAGGCCCTGGCAGGCGTTGGTCATGTGATCTGCTGAAACTAGCAGATGTGCTTTCGAGTGATTCATGTCTATTAGAATAAACAAGACTTGTACACATGGCAAAACTCCCTTCTCAAATTCGATCTGCATGTGTTATGACAAAGGGCTGCAGTCTTTGTCCATATAGTCTTTGATCACATGAGTTCGTGTTTCTCACGTTGACGTATCAGATCCCTGAGAAAAGTCACCGGTATACAAAAAACTAAAAAGTACCGCTATCGAACATATAATCTTGTGCCAGTGCAGGCAGTGCCAATATTTTAATAAGGAAACTTTGGTTGGTACAGGCGCGGATCCAGCCTAAACCCTGACCGTGGCGGACTCCAAAACCGCGCATAATTAGAGGGGTCCGGGGGCATTCCCCCCCGGAAAATTTTTGAAATTTGAACCCCGGAAATGCCATTTCCTGAGTTCTGAGCATCGAATTCTATCATATAATTCGTCATTAATTACGCCATATTTTAGACAGCAAATAACGAAACGCACTAAATAAGTCAAATATTTAAACAACATACCATGTTTTTCAGCGAACGTTACAACATTAGAATGTTACAAAATCACTGTTACAGTACTTACATAAAACCACAATTCTGTACCGCACGTACTGTTCCTGTGTATTTCAGGTTCTTCGTAGCAAAAAATATCCAATTAGGGCTGTACATCGAACTCAATCATCTTGGCGTTTCAGTTGCAACGTAGGTCTTTTACGGGGTGGGTGTTTTCAGCTGCACATCGATACCAAGTGTCTTATTCTCGATCATTCGCTTAAACTGTGTAGCACGGAGATTTGCCGTTGTGTTAACATTGGATTTTTCACCATGCTGACATAGTTTCTGGACAGCAGAAGCACTTGGAGGAAGAGCACTGGTCATCAATCGTTGGAGCTCGCTTGCATTATGCGTGCTTTCACTGCCAAAAAGAACACAAGTGACGCAAAAACCACCGTTTGCCACAGCAGAGTAAGCCAACCATGGAAATCGTGATAACCATGCCAACCGGAAACGTCTACCAATATTTTCGCGTGGAAGAAAAGAAAAATCAGAACCAGGTTTCCAATGGCAATGATTGCACAGAATTTCGTACTTTTTTGAATCAGGAAGACTGGACACCAGATTTACGTAGTTTAGATATCATCTGGCCACGAATTGGTGGAAGTTTGTTGTGTTTTGGTGTTATATTTTTCTGAGGTAGGACCAGTGTTGGGAGTTACAGATGAAATTCCTTTACTAGTGCTGGGAAATTTGATTTCACTGTCTACAGTTTCTTGTGTGTTGCACGCTCGTTTCACAAGAAGCGCATCGATCTAAGCTAATTTGTTTTCTTTTTGGACCAGTCGTCCGCTTTTTAGTAAATGTAGTCACTTGTGTAGAGGAAGGAGCAGAAGAAACTTTAGTAGAAACTTTAGGAGAAACTGTAGCAGTGTAGGAGGAACTTTAGGATGAACTGGCATCGCAGACTTGAATAAGATTGGAAGGTGCGCTTTAAAATAATGGTCTCGTGGCTGAAGTGCTTTAACTGGTTTGCACAAGGTAACAAAATGATTTTTGGTAGATAGAATTCTTCGATCAACCAAATAAGACGGTGGCATCGCAGCACAATGAAAGATATGGACATATCCAATTGCACTGCCATCAAGATAATCCCGTGAATATACTGTGTTGTACAATTGAATCCAAGGAATCCCAATTTTCTTTCACTACAGTATCATTGGTGAGTGGGTGTAGAATGACTGAATGGCACACTGAATTACTGTGGACAAGGCAAACATGCACACCATGGATGAGAATGTGTAATTTTTGCAGCTTCCTTT